TTATTTACTATTCCAATGAATTTTCTAACGAGGTTTTTCTTGATCTTCTATTGAACCTGTGAGAGTTTTTTCTAATGATACTTTTCTTGATTTTCTATTGATTTAGTTAATAATCCAAATAATGATGCATCAATGAAAAGTGAACAAGGAAACAACATCAAGGGCAACATTGTTAATTAAGCAACCAAATATTTAGATATAGATTTGTTAATAGCAGCTACAATTACGTAGCACCCAAGGAGAAATGCTCGAAAAAGCTCTATCTATGGCTATTGGCTACAACAAGAAAAGCAAACAAGTTTTCAGTGATATCAGCACAAAAGTCGATTAACATGGTCAATGAATGCTCGAGAAAAGCAAGAGTGTGAAATCACAAGGTCCATAGGCAAAGATCCAGCATCCATTATCTAAGCACGAGTGAGTGAGCAACTTTCAGAGACCAGACTTGTCAATATCATCAAAATAAGGGTGCTCCATAGCTTTCTTTGCTGAAATCCTCTTTGACGGCTCGTATTGCAGCATCTCCTACAAAAATCACATTTTTTTTTTTTAAATTTTCACATAAATTATTAAATAAAAAGCCAAGTTTAATTTTGTTGTTATAAAATTCAAGCAAGAAAAGGACTTACAGATAAGAGGTGTAGGCCAGTTTCATCCAGTCCAGGCACAGCTGATGAAAGCGGCTTTGGGGTCCATTGTGGGTACTCGTGCCAGTTCACTAACTTGCTAACTCCAGGCCAAACTTCTTCATTAGGAGTTCCCAACAATCTGCTTCCATCAAACATGTGCGCGCAGTTATATAACTAATGGTATCAAAAATTGAATATATTGGAAGAACAAATTTTCATAGATGCTAATAATAACCTGAAAATGTGGAGAAGCTGCTGCAGCTCAGAGTCTCCAGGAAAGAGAGCTTGGTTTGTCACCAGTTCAGCTGAGAAGTAAAAATTCAAAAGAATGATTGTTTACAATTTTGTAGTTGAAAACAACAAACATCCGTACCCTTAATTGTCCAAAACAACAAACATCCGTACCCTTAATTTTCACTAAATTCCCTTTCAAATTCACTAATCAACACAATAAAATTTGCAATCATGATACAAAGAAGTAATTTTATACGAACAATACTAAACGCATTATATAGTAACAAGCAAACTGTTCATACCAAATATGCAGGCGACTGACCACATGTCCACTGCTGGTGAGTAGTGTGTAGCTCCCAAAAGCACCTCAGGAGCCCTATACCAGAGGGTCAATATCTGCAAATAAAAAACCCATTCAATAAATGCAAATAATAATAATTGAAATGGCTTTCAGTCAGGGACAAATTAGAAGTATTCAACAAAGTACCTCATGAGTGTACTTCTTAATAGGGACCGTAAAAGCTCTGGCCAAACCAAGATCTGCTATCTTAAGCATCATTGTCTTGCGATCCATCAAAAGATTGTGAGGCTTGAGATCCCTAAACGATTGCTTGAAGTTAACTCAAACACAGGGAAGAAAATTAACCAATTACAAGGAAAAAAAAAAAAAAAAAAAAAAAACCATTGATTTACCTGTGTAGAACACCATGACCGTGACAGAAAGCAACACCTTTGCAAAGTTGATACATTAAACTCTGCAATTATGAACACCTTACAGATTACTAAGAGAACCTGTAGAAATTAATTGAACAAATCCTAGGCAAACATACCTTGATGATGTTGGATGGAATATTTCCTCCAGATTGGCGAAAGCTGCGAATATACTTCTTGAGGTCGGTATCCATGTACTCGAAAACCAAGTAGAGGACTGTCTTTCCTTCCTTGTTTTGTCCTTGTTTCACATCCATCAATCTGTAAGTTGGAAATTGGAAATTGATTATATTTAGTTACAGAAAGAATACAGTCCAAAGGAACCAATCACAGTGTTGCGTAATATTCAGATACCATAGCAATTTATAGATGTTCATAAGACTTGAGTTTTGGGACACAAAACAACAATAACCTAGCATGATTCCCACAAAATCTAATTGTAGCCATTTTCATGCCAATTCTCCGAATTGAACTCAATTTTCACAACCCAATTAATGAAATAGCCAATAGCAGCAACAAATTCAAAGGAAATCCTGCACCCCCAATCAAAAAACCCAAACAAAATCAGAAATTAACATCACAAATAGCCACACCAAGCCAACAAGTAAATCGAACTAACCGAAGACAAATCTACAAAAATAAAAAGCCTTTAATAACCACAAGGGAATCAATAAAACGCCTGAAACCCCCAATCAGAAAGCCAAATCCATGTGAAGAAACCCTATTTTACGGAGAAAAGAAAAAAGGAAAAGGGTCAAAGTGTGTAAAATTTACTTGACGACATGGGGATCCCTGGAAAGCATCCTGAGGAGGGAGACCTCGCGGAGAGTAGTGGGCGGCACCCCTTCTTCGTCCTCGTGCAGTCGGGTCTTCTTAAGTGCCACGATTTTGCCCGTGGCCTTCTCTCTCGCTCTGTAGACTTTCCCGTAGGTGCCCTCGCCCACTTTCTCTAGCTTCTCAAACGCCTCCATTGCCGATTTCGCTTTCTCGTCCATCTGTCTCTCTCTCTCTCTCTCTCTCTCTCTCTCTCTCTCTCTCTCTCCCTCTCTATCTCTCTCTCTCTGCGTGATAATATTGCCTGATTCGGCGGTTTTTTCGCAAATGGGAGATGGGAAAGGGGATGATATGGGCTATAGTATACGCATATTACAACGGCTAACTTATTTTGAAATTCAAAACATTTTGAAATTCGAACCACCCCCGGCGCGTATGCCGTATGGTGTTTCTTTTTCTTTTATTCTATTGTTCTACTTACCATTGGGTCATCTCTTTGAATTATTTTAAGTATTTTTCACTCAGATTGTGCAACTTCATAGTTAACACCAATTTTGAAGTTATATTATATTCAATAAATATATTCTAAAAGTTATATCCATATAAACAATATTCTTCAAATATTTTTTTCTAGAATAATATTTTATTGTCTAAATATCAGAGTATATATTTATGTTGAATATCAAAAAATCTTGTCCTCGTTTAGTTTATGTTCTTTTGTCGTCTTCTGAATCTTAGACCTGTGTGAGGTTTTTATATATTGTTATTTAAAATATACATATAAAAAACTAATTGTTATGGATATTATTATTCAAGTAGTCAGTATATTTAGAAAGATTATATATCGAAAAGAATGAAATATTTTTAATGCATATGGACTGTATTTGTTTTTTATAACATTGTTTACTATTGTTGAATGTAAATTTTTATGGACTCCGAGTCGGCCCATCAAGACCAGGTCAGATGATCATTTGGCCTGCAAACCCGAGCACAAATGGCCCAAGAAGTAGCTCTAGCAAAATCTGTCGATCTCTCTAATCGACAGACATGGTCTTATACTGACCAAGTAAATAATCTAGACCTCAGTTATTGTTTCGTTCTCTTAACTCGTAAAATAAACGCACATATATATTTGATTATTATTTATTTCATTCGGCATGAGTGCGATTTATTGCGAATCAATAACCTACGTATTTTTTGATAAATTATTTCGATTACATGATGTATCGTTAAAATTATTTACGGTTACCTTGTCCTGGTGCACCAGGTTGATTACGTCTCCGAGATGAGCTCGAGAAGGATTAGTATGTCAAGCCCTGCAGTGAATTCTGAGATAATAATAAAGAACTGAGTGGTACTAATTTCAGATAAAGAAGTTGATTAATTATATTGTCAGTTTTTAAATTAATCAACGGACATTATATATAAAATATGGATAGATAAACTGAGTAATTAATCGGAGGTGAATTTATTTATAAATTGGAGCTAAAGTGGAAGTTCAATAATATTTTTTGGTGGAATGGAATATTATTCAAGTATGAATAGTGTAGGTAGACCAAGGCTTAAAGTTGCTTTCACGCTTGGGGAGTCCTTATTCAACACCTTCTTTGGATCCATGTTGTAGCCTATAAACACGTCAAGTTCCTTGGGGCCACATACGGATAATTAACGTGAAAAAATAAAAAATCTCAAGCTTATTATTTTGGCCAAAATCCATGAGCAAGAGAGAGGGAAGAACTTGACTACAATTAAGGTTTCCGTCGAAAGACGAAGCAGACTTCAAAGGTGTGAGGAGGGATCATAAGAGCATCGTGCAATCTAAGCAATAACATCGAAGACAATTTCCTCTTCTTTATTCTTTCCCAAGGTCAATCGAAGTGAGGTTTGGAGAATCCGACGAGCCACCCACCAAGACGTACTAGGTGATCGGTCGTACAACAAAAGGTTCAAAGGTAGCTCCGCTCGTCTTGTCCCGTAGACCGAGTATGTTTTCTCAGGGTCGACAATTTTCAAACCGTAATGGCATGATTGGTATAATGGAATGGAATTTCGTAGGAATGGAATGCACTGAAGAATGGAATGAATTAAGGGAATGGAATAAAATAAGTTTTGTCATTGATGCGTTTGGTATGCAAAAGGAATAGGAATTGAATGGAATGACATTATCATTTTTTACTATAAAAATAAATAAAAGCTTTTTTTAAAAAAATAATATACTTTTAATAAATTATATATAAATTCTTTTTTAATAATATATAAAAATAAAATAATATATTTTTAAATTATATATAAAAATAATATATTCTTAAAAGTAATATATTCTTAATATATAAAAAATAATATATTTTTAATAATATATAAAAATAAAAAGTAATATATATTTTATTTTTTAATTAAACAATAAATAAAAGTAAGTTTTCAATTTTTTATTTGAATTTTATTTTTTAAAATAATATATTTTTAATAAAATTTAAAAATAAAAAGTAATATATTTTTAATAATATATATTTTTAATATTTTTAAATAATATATTTTTAATAATACTCCCTCCTATTTTTAATAAATGTCGTTTTGAGAAGTTGCACAATAATTAAGAATATTTTGTTTGCCGATAATAACCCTCATTAATGAGGATAGAGATTGATGTTTTGAGAAAAGATGGAGAGTTAATATGAAAAGACGTAGTGTATTTATTAGTTAGATGAGTGTAATAATGGAAAAATATGTACAAAATAGCCAAAACGACATTTATTTAACAAATGGTCAATTAAGCTAGAATGACAAATAATAAAAATAGGAGGGAGTATATTTTTAATATATAAAAAATAATATATTTTTATTAATATATAAAAACAAAATAACATATTTTTAAATTATATATAAATACTTTTATTAGTTTTATTTTTATATAAGTATTTAATATATCTAATTAAAAGTAAGTGTTCAATTTTTTTATTTGAATTTTGTTTTTTAAAATAATTTTATTTATATATTTTAATGATGATTTATAATATATATATATATATATATATTTTATTTTTTATTATTATTTGTTAATTTTATTTTGTGAAAAAATTGATTCCTACACACATGGGAATGAGAAAACCTTCTATTTACTATGGAATGGCTAATCCCATGGAGATGAGTTTTGCCATTCTCATTGGAATGGTCATTCCTTTCCAAAAAATATATCAATCTTGAGATAAGGAATGAGTAAGGGAATGATCATTCCATTCTCATGTCATTCCTTCCTACCAATTATGTCATAAGTTCTTATTTCTAACTCTAGATCTGCATTGTTACGATTAAATTTTTAGGAATCCGTGTATGCACATCGATCGACATTTTTCATAGAACTCAACAGAATATCATCTGAAGGCAGGAAGATCGGCAAACAGCTTCCCGGGCCCATGAGGATTTGCCGATCTCCAATGAGATCCGAAAACTTGGGGGACCAGTTGTTGTACGTTGATGGTCTAGGTCGGCCCGCTACACCAAATGATGTCTCGTTCATAAAGGAAACTATCTCATGCCAATTTAGGCCCAATTTCGTGAAAAGAACAGAAGAGCCCATATGTCCTGCCTTGTCTCGATCTCTCTCCACCTTAAGTGTCGATGTGCCAGCTAGCACTATTTGAGGATCTCTCTGCAGAATGTGAACAGGAACCAGTAAAGCAAACTGTCCAATTGGTCCACCGTCAAAAGCCGAAATATGAGTCCTATCATTCAAGTCGAATTTTTGTATGGATCCATGTGTCACTCATTTACGCTCTTAGTTGGCAAACTCAGTCATTACCTTTTTACTTTACTCATGAATAAATTTAGCATTTAATGCTCCAAGATAGGAAAAAACAACAAACTACACTGAAAGAACTCTCTTTAAAATATATTCAAGCACTCACGCAATTTCCTCTCATTTATCTTTGTGTCCCGATCTTTTATAGTTTTTTTACTATCTCTCCCAGTAACTCTTTAGTCCATTTCCCTACATAATCCCTACTTATACTCACTAGTACGTACCCCGTGCGATGCACGAGAAAAAAATATTAAATGAGTTATTTTTACTGTCTTTGTCCGTTTAAGTATATAAAGCAATAGGGTTATCATCTATTTTTCACATCTTTTAATCAGCGTTAAGTGTAATAAACAATAAGATTATAATATAGTTTGCACATCTTTTAATCAGCGTGGATTTTTTAGTCAAAACATTAAATATGAGCATGTTAGGGCAACTTGTAAAATAATTAATATATTATCTCACGAACACATTTATACTAATATAAATTTAATTTTAGTATATATATTTATTCCAAAAGAGAATAACAATTTTACTTATTCTTGTTCACCATATAATACTTAATTATTATTTTATTATAAACTTTGTTGTCATATAATGTCATTATTATTTATAAAGTTATAGAAGTTGTACGTCTTCTTTTTCTTTTTATTTTATGTAATGAAAAATATTTAATGCACGTTAGTATTATTTATTTACGTAATCAATTTAAAGTATGTAAATAAATTTAAAATTAAATAGTGTGTAAATATTTTACAAAATATACACATGTTTTTTTAGAATTTAATTTTGTATACTAATTAAACAACTTTGATTTAGAAAATGCCAAAAACTCAATTCCTTCTATGATCAAGATTTTTCTAATTCGCACTATGAGGATTTATAGTTTATTTAGCATACTCTGCAATGAAAATTTATTTTACAAGAATTTAATTATAGAAATAAATTAAAATAAAAAATAAAAAAAAAATAATCATGGGTGTCAATAATATACAAATCAATTCTAAAAAATAGTTAATATATTTCAATTTTAATTTTTTACTTATTTGCCTCGATATCAAGGTATCAAGTCAAGTAATTACCAAGGGTGAATAAGCGATAGAAGGGTGGAAGGAAAGCAGCAAGCCTTCACCAACTTCATTTTGTCTGATGACTTGGAAAAACAATTCTACCTAACCTGTTACGATTTTCCATAAATATTTTTGGATAAAAAGTGAATATTTGTGAAAAAAATTATATTATGGTTAGAACTTAAAATATGGTGTAATATTTATCTTGACCAAAATATTATCAACATGGATCATGGAAATCAATCTTGTAATTTATTATAATGAATATCAATGAAAGTATGATAAATATTAACAAAATAATATTTATTTTGACCAAAATATTATCAACATAGATCTCGGAAAATCAATCTTTTAATTTATTATAATAAATATCAATGAAAGTATTGCAAATATTAATAAATTTATTTAACTAATTTTTTTTTATCATATCTTATTTGAAAACGTGTATATGGAAGTTATTAATGTATATAATTAAAAAGTTTCCAAAAATAGTATACATTAAATGTTTCTTAAATTTTTTGCTACTATTTTTAATTAGTAAATAGTAATTCTTATTATATATATATATAGATATAGATTTGATTAGTTTGGTAACAATCAATTATCAACATATTTAATCAAGATCTTTTTTCCCAGGATCTGTAAATTTTGTAGTATAAAATATATATTTCACAATATTTGAAAACAGTCACTGAGAGCTATAACTTTTCCAAAAATAATAAAATAAAATAAAAATTATATGCTTTATAACAATCCTTCCATGTCAAGAAGGTAGATTCATAATTTTTATTATTTTTTTTTTCTGAATATCATATATTTCGGTAATCTATGAAAAAATTTTAAAAAATAAAAAAATCTTTCAAGGCACAATAAAACGAAAAAGATTCAAGAAAAGAATTTGGTATTGGATATCTTTCGGCTTAATGTACTAGATTTTATTTTATTTATATGAGAGCTATCTTTCAAACAAAATGAATTCGTAGGGCTGAGGCTAAATGAAACCATTTGAGGTTTTACAAAAGTTTTAATTACATTTATGGTCTTAATATCTTTGTTAAGTTGTAAAAATGACTAATTATTTTATAATTACCATAATTATAAATTTAAGAAATATTCTTCATATTACATAAATATACTAATTACAAGTAATAATATAATAGTGAAGCAGTCTAGGATACCTGTATCATTTGAAATTAAATAAATCCATTTGCTAAAGCATTTCATTTGTAATAAAATCCCTTAGAATACCATGGCATGACTACTTATTTTTATATATTTTTGTAATTGTTACCTAGTTCTATGATTATACTAGTTACTATTATTATTCACAACATAATTAGTTCTAAATGCAATATCAATCGTAACTAGCTAATATTCGACTATCTGCATTTACAAAGATATAAATAAAATATTATAAGTTATTAACACATAATCCAAAAGATGAACATTATTTCAAACTAATTATATAATTCAAGACCCACATTTTCTGTCATGGTTCTATGTATTTGTTTTCAAGAGGCTGAAAACACTAATTCATGACGATAGAAATTAAAAGGCAAATAAACTAAAACCTTGTATACGGAATTATTTTTTAATAATGTATATCTAGCTATTTGTACGATTTATACTTTGTTTTGCATTTGCACGGGCAACAGTGCTACTTTTAATTTAAGGTGCATCAAATTAAACAATAAAAATGTCAATAATACGAAAATTGCAATTAAAAATTATCCTTATGTCTCAATTCCCAAATCAAAACAATGGTTATACTTCAAATAATCAACACTAATGTGGCCATGATTCTCGTGATTTAGGAAATAATATTAACTAATATTGCTTAAATTTCAGATCTACATTGTCTCTTTGTCGCCTTAGTTGCCATGATTTTGAAGGTGCACAGAATCTTCTTCATCTTAGGTGATTTAGGAAATAATATTAACTAATATTATATAAATTAAATTTCAGATCTACATTGTCTCTTAATTTGTCGCCTTCCTCAAATTTCCACATGAGTTCAGTCTACAACCTAAATATTTGAAGACAGCCACTCAAAGCTATTGAAAATAATCGGAACCTTAACTTCTTCTCAACAGAAGAAGACGGGTTACTGAATAGCAAAAGCATTGTGGCTTTTTCTTTTTTTCATGCTATATTTCAATCGTTCGAAAAACTGTCAATTGAATTATAAAAATGTCAATAAAAGCTCAATTAGAAAGCTAATTGCATTGACAGATTCAAAATAATTTAATAATTGGGACACTATTCAGTTAATTGAAAAAGTATATCATAAAAATAATCATTACAATATATAAAAACAGAGGAGCACTAGGATTATATTTGAATATATCATGTAACAAATATTAGAGGACATACAAATATGAGGGCATGTTTGTTTATGGAAATTTTTCAAAAAAATTTCACATTTTAACTCAATCACTTTTTTAACTCAACTCCACTATCATCAATATCAATATTATTAATATAATTAAATAATATCAATCAATCATTAATACACACTCCATCAACATTAATTCACTATTCATCCACTCACATTATTTTAATTAATCATCACTTCAATCATCTATCTCCTACTTTTACATCAAATCAATTTTAATTATTTTATTTTAAATATTATTTTAATATATCCACTAACAACATTTTTTTCAAAAATTAACCAAACCAAAACAAAAAATCCAAACAAACTAAAAATTTCCATAAACAAACATGCTCTAGTTTTCATTGAATACAAAAAATAAACGAACATTGCCACTAAAACTAAGATGCATACATATATCATGAACTGACACACACACACACACAAANAAGCAGAGAGTCATGAAGAATATATGTATACTATGTGGCACAGTAGCCCCACATGAATAACCTCCCCTGAAACTTACACATGTTGCGGGGCAGTAAAATGGATGCAAAAATGAGAAGCTCCGACCCGTCGGGCTGCAGGGCCCGCATTGCCACGTCATCCCTGACCATCTCGTCCAGCAGGGATTCGTATGCCTCCCGTTTGGCCAAGGACGGGAAGAAGTAAATCCCAATTGAGCCGTCGAAATCCTTGGGCCACAGCAGGAATCTGGGCAGCACCTCAACCTCCACGGTGGGCTCCATCTGGGCCGCAAGTTGGGCCGCGGCCTTGTGGGCCCGCGTGGACAAGAAGGCGTGGAAGCCCTCAATCCTTAGGAAGTTGCTCTCGTCCTGGACCAAGTCCAGAGAGCCCGTCCACACAGACACCATGTAAGGCTCTTCTTTTTCTTCGATTTTTAACTTCGTGAGTTCGCAAGTGGTGCAGATCATGCCGTGTTTGTATTCCCCACAATAGCTGTGCCCCAAAGCTTGTTTGCATTCCAAGCAGTAGACAAGTTTTTTCTCAAATCCCAAATCCCCACACTCGCAACAGATTGCTTTCCCCATCAAAATTAATCGGATTAAATAATAATTCTCTTTGTTTCGTTTTTTTCTTTTTTTTTCAATTACTTTCAGGTGATTGAGGTTTTTATTTATATATATGGTTTCTTTTCTTGCGTCTCACTTTATCCTATTCCCAGGCCGGACACCGTTGTTTTAATATGGGCTCTTGGATTCTAACATTGAATATCAGCCCTCAGATTTGGTTACAGAAGATTATTAATTATTATTATTATTATTATTATATTGTCGGTCTTGAACTTGCGGAGCACGTTTCAGAAAATAAATAAATAAAAACAAAATTTTTAATTTCATAAAGTGAAAAACGAAAAATCTGTGAGTTTCATATTATTTTTTACTCCTGTCCCCTTTGCAAGCAGAACAGAAAAAAGAAAAAAGTTAATTTTTTTGTGTACCACAAAAAAAAAGGCTTTTTATTTTTTTATTTCCTATTTTGCTTTAATTGTGTAAAAGGTTCAATCTATAATTCTATATATATATATATAGAAGGGATGAGAAAGAGGTATCAATGGTTAAGATGAAGTCAGTTTTGTAATTATGTGATAAATATTGATCTGTTGGTAAACTTTGAAGGCAAATGTTAAAAAATGTTGGTCATTTTCAAAAAAATGTCCATCATATAGGGCGTTATAAAAAATGGTCCACTAAGTTGTCATATTAATCAAAACTAATATGTACCCGGTGCGATTCACGGGACAAAGATATTAAATGAGTTATTTTTACAAACTCTGTACGTTTAAGTCTAAAAAACAATATGATTGTTATATATTTTCCACCTCTTTTAATCAACATTAAGTTTAAAAAAATAATAGGGTTATAACATAGTTTCCACCTCTTTTAAGTAGCGTTGTCTTTTTAGCCAGAACATTAAATATGAACATGTTGGAGCTAGCTTGTAAAATAATTAATATTATCCCACTAACACATTTATACTAATATAAATTTGATTTTAGTATATATATTTATTCCTTGATATAATAGAAAATAACAGTTTTACTTTCTTGTTCACCATATAATACTTGATTATTATTTTATTATAAATTTTTTTGTCATATAATGCCATTATTATTTATAAAAATTATAGAAATTGTACCTCTTCTTTTGATTTTTATTTTATCTAATGAGAAATAATCAATGCACGTTAGAATCATTTATTTATATAATCAATTTAAAATATGTAAATAAATATAAAATTAAATATTGTATAAATATTTTGCAAAATATATGTCTGCAGATTGATTTCGACCGCCGCCACCAAACCACTGTCACACATAATCCAACGCCACTTCACCAGCGCTATTGTCACCATCTCCACCCGCCACATTCCACCGTCTTCTTCGCCACAGCAACCCGACCTCCAAGCCTCAGCCTATCCTATCGAGGATGAGCGACGAGCTGCCACACGCCTTCAGGCAGGCGGCCGTCGGAAGCCCCGACGGGCAAAGCTGATGACCAATTGTTACAGCTCATAACATTTCTGATTATGAGTTGTTGTTTCACAGTAGTTTTGTAAATTTTACATGTTTATAATTATTATAAATTTTTATAAATAACTAGTACAATACCCGTGTATTACACGTGTGCTTGTTAAAAAATTATTCTTAAATTTTAAAATTAATGAGAAAAATTATTTTAAATTTTATTTACTTGTTTACAAAAATTATATATTATTATATATTTTAGAATGACACTTGTTACTTGTGCGACTTATATGTGCTATATTATAGTATCATATAACTACTTGAAATATAAATATATTAAATCGAAGCTCATCAAGAGATGATTAATTTGATATATTATATATGTAAAACTAATAAAAATACAAAAGTTATTAACTTTTAAAATATATTTACAATTCAATGGTTATAATAAGAAATGATATTAAAATGCAATTAATACATGTAACATGACCATAAATAATCAACATATTTAGAGATAATTCAGACCTAATTATTTAACGAAACACATAATTTTGCCACATAGGAATCCAAAGCATGCAAGCCCAAGTTTGAATGAATACATAGGGGGAGATATTTGTAACTGGTTAAGTGATTGAAGCATTTTTTTTTTTTTTTTTTTGATACCGAGGTTCCAGGCTTGCGCCTGACTAGTCCTCGAGGAAACAACCCTCGGCCCCTCAGAAACTGTCTCCAGTTAAACCGCGGTAGCCACACAATAGCTCCCAGGTTCATACCCTCAACTACCGCGCACAAGGAGTCGATCTCCAAGTGATTGCTCGTTGGCCCTCTCAGTTCCAAGTTGGAACCACCTATCCAGCCGCTGATTCCCACCGAAGTGATTGTTCGCTGGCCCCCCCAACTTCATGCTGGCCTCACCTATCCAGCCGCTGGTTACCACCGAGTTTCAGCCTCCCACATTGCCGTTTGTAGTTTTCAGTATTAATTATTCCACTATTGCGATCCGGAAGCTTGAACCCTTGACCTCATGTAAAGGGTGATTAAAGCATTATTACACATACGAGAGGTCAAATATCGTTGTCCCACGAAAACATTCAACTTAAACCGGTGGTTTGGTTGGTAGTATCGCCCCTTCCCAAATCTCATGCTATATAAACCAATTTCGCACACAGACACACAGAAAGAGTGCATTGGTAGGTGGAGTGTGTGCTTGTACTCCAAGAAATCTTAGTGCATATCGATTTAGCCCTGATGGATTCCGATTATGGCACATCGAGAGAACTTTCTGATCTGCAAAAGCTTCGATCTTTGTACCAGCCAGAGCTTCCTCCCTGCCTTCAGGTCTCTATTACTCAGTTCTTTCATTCTTATCTTTTTTTTTTTGGTTATTTTAGGTTCCCTTTTATCCTGTTCTGGTATTGTTTGCTCTCAGTTTGCTATGGTCGTCCCTTTTTTTTCCAATGTTCATGCTGGAGTGGTTTTGTTTGGCTTGTGTCTGAATTGTGATATACAAACATTAGTTAGCGGTGAAATCTCGGTGCTTCGTAGAGTTTTGCTGATTTCGTGCATGGTTATGTCGGAGGAAGTAGATCTGATTGGTTGGATCGTGTTGATTTGTGTTTTGTTTTGTGGGCCTTTTGCTATGTGTTCCTTAATACATTTGTTATGTTATTCCATGAATTTGTTGTTGTCTTTGTGCAAAAACGAAGAGATTTAGTTAAACAAGGGTTTTGAAATTTGTTCAATTTGGATCACTGGAAATTCTGAAAACAAATCTGAGTGCATTTCTTTCTCCCTTTATGTGGTTTATGCACTGTTCAGTTCTCTTTGATAAATCTTTATTTCAAGAACTAGAAACAGAGTGGTTGGATTGGTCACTGCATTTGATAAATTTTGATTTGTAGTTATGCCTACCTACTAAAAACTGCAAACCTCAAAATTCTGTATCATCACACATATGCCGTTTGAGTTTATTTTCCTTTTGAGTTCAATAGATTGTTCGTCTTGATATCAATCTTATTTATAACCTCTTTCTCTTATGACTTGGGCAGGGAAATGCAGTCCGTGTTGAGTTTGGTGATGTGGCAATTCCTGCGGACCCCTCAGGTGCCCATACCATAAGTAGGTCTTTTCCTCACACTTATGGTCAACCCATTGCGCATTTCCTTAGGGCGACTGCGAAGGTTCCCGAAGCTCAAATTATTACGGAGCTTCCTGCGGTCAGGTACACGCTATTCTTCTGGTTAGGCATTTCCTTAAGCTCGTCAACTTGTGATAATCATATGCTTTCATGTATATTTAATAAAGAAGGATCTTTTTTTTTTTTGGTCGCTTTATCATCTAATTAAAGTTATAAATTACTAAATTTACATTGTTCTATATCAGGGTTGGAGTTGTTTACTGTGGTAGACAATCTCCTGGAGGACATAATGTCATATGGGGTCTTTTTGATGCGCTCAAGGTTCATAACCCCAATAGTACTTTGTTTGGATTTCTTGGTAAGTATTGTGTTCTCTTTGATTAGATTTTGTATGCAATTCTCTTTTGGCATGAACCTCTGTTCCCTGATATAGTTGCTAGTGAAGTTTCACTTTTATTTTATATAGTGATCTCCAAAGAACGTGGTGATCTTTTCTTGTCAGGGCTTCCTTATATTGCTTGTTAGTCTAGGAGTTGGATTAAATTTCATGTAATTCAGTAAACAGAATTGAAATTCCATCTGTGCTAAATCGTTTATCTAATTCTATCCAGATTGTACTTTATATTATAAATGGAATGAGATTTTCTATAAATGGGAAACTCTAGATGCTCGGTGATGCAAATGAGGCAATGTTTACAATTCATGGATTTAGTGAGATACAATTTGAAGATTTTGTAGATTCATAGATCAGGGTTTAAAAGAAGAACTTTCTAAGTTTCCAAAAAATTGAAGCTAGATTGTGACTTTCAATTGGCTCCTTTCCTGTCTTGAGTTTGACTTTTATTATAGCAAAGACTAACATCCTAAAGACTTGTATCTATGTCTTACCAGGTGGTTCTGATGGTTTATTTGCACAAAAAACTTTAGAGATTACTGATGACATTCTCGCAACCTACAAAAATCAAGGTAACTGATAATCTCAGTGTGTGGGTGTGACTTGCATCTGTGCTTTGTTGTCAAGAAATTGTTTTTTTTTTTTTTTTTTTTTTAAGGTGGATATGATTTGCTCGGACGGACAAAAGATCAAATTAGAACAACTGAGCAAGTTAATGCAGCACATAACGCATGCACGGCTTTGAAGCTGGATGCTCTTGTAGTTATTGGAGGTACAGCCAATATATGGCCCTTACAGTTCATGATAATGCCGTAGTCAGTTTTGTGACATGCCTGTAACTTGTTACCCAGGCGTGACGTCAAATACGGACGCATCCCAGCTTGCAGAAACTTTTGCTGAAAGAAAGTGCTCTACAAAGGTTTGACACATTAGGATCAAAATATATTATGTTTAGTTTTACCTTTAAGCTGGGTGTTGTGTATTTTCTGTCTACGTTGTCTAGAATCCTGTAATAGTTTTTGAATTCTTTTTCTTTTTCTTTGCTGTATTATTTTGGATATAATTAATAAACAAAATCTTGTCAAATCTCTGCAGGTGGTTGGAATCCCTGTTACTTTAAATGGAGATCTTAAAAACCAATTTGTTGAGACAAATGTTGGTTTTGACACAATATGCAAGGTAAAAAGACTTTTCTGCCCTTTCTTGTGTATGTAGACTTCTCTTTTTTTTTTTTTTTATTCTTTGGCATATAGATCCATGTATTTATACCCCTTTCTCTTCCGGGCTTCTTATCCTCCCAATTTCATTTATAAGGCCCTAAATGCATTTCTAGCACACGTTGGATGTAAGAGAATTAGTTTATACCTCTTCATTCAGCTACCACTTCTGTTCAAAAGTTTCAGGAAGATCGTCTTGTCTCGTAAGACGAAATGTTCTAATTGGGATTTCTTTTACTTGTCTCAGGTTAATTCCCAGCTGATTAGTAATGTATGCACCGATGCCCTTTCTGCGGAGAAGGTAAAGTCATTCCTAATACGTACTTCTGCCTTTTGTATTTTATGTTCCCAGAGTTTTACTAGTGGTTACTGCCTTCTCATACTTCATAGACATGCTGCTTCGTGTAAATCTGCTATAACCCGTGCCTTTTTACGTTCTTCTTTCTATATGCAGTATTATTACTTCATTCGACTCATGGGACGTAAAGCATCTCATGTTGCCGTGGAATGCACTCTCCAGTCCCATCCCAATCTGGTTTGTTTTGATTTTACAGTTCATTTTGAAGTATCTGTTAATTTATTGTCTCCGTGAGATTTATATACTCTGTGTTCATATCTGAAGGAGCTATGATCTTTTTGTAGGTCATTCTTGCTGAAGAGGTGGCGGCATCAAAGCTTACTCTATTTGACATCACAAAACAGATATGTGATGCAGTTCAAGCAAGAGGTGAACAAGGTAGTAGCACATCAGGAACTTCTACTTTATATATGGTCGATTTATAAACAAATTGTGACCAACAGATTTTTGCTTCAGATAAGCATCACGGTGTCATCCTTCTGCCTGAGGGGCTTATTGAAAGCATACCTGAAGTTTATGCTCTATTGCAGGTATTAAATGTTAGGCATTTGGTTTTGTCTGTTGTTTTTTGCATTGACTTTTATCCTCTTTAAGCTAGAGAATTGGTAATGTTGAGATGTTTTTTTTATTTGATGGTCTCTGATAAATGGGCCTGAGTAGAACTCTTCCCCCAAAAACTAGAAGAGGGTGCCCCCAACCATACTTATAAACAATAACAACTCAGTCATTAATCAATGAGGGAGAGATAACTTCTAACTGTTTCCATATTAGTGAACAATTAGTTTGAGCCTTTTTTCCAATATTGTATATCCCAGGAAATTCACCATTTGCTCAGGGAAGGTGTATCTGCTGATAACATTTCTGCACAACTCTCTCCTTGGGCATCTGCACTGTTTGATTTCCTGCCACCATTCATAAGAAAACAGGTACAATGTAATTTATCTCCTTCTCTTATTTTTAGGAGCTTCTTTCCTTCCTTCCTTCCTTTTTTTTATTTTTTATTTTTGCATTATTTTGCTCACTGTGAGGTTATTACTGTGTCACAGCTCCTTCTCCACCCAGAATCGGATGACTCTGCACAGCTATCTCAGGTTCTAGACTTGATGAGCCTATTTATTACATGTTGGAAAAATGGGGGTCTCTTTAATATATTCATTCTTAATTTAACCTCTTTTGACTTGACAGATTGAGACTGAAAAGCTCCTAGCTCATCTTGTCGAAGTGGAGATGAATAAGAGACTGGTAAGCATATTTATCTACCAAGGAAAGTAAATGATAAAATACATTTCTTTTTCTTGTTTCCACATCATTTTCTTGTGATCTATCTGAGAGCTGCACGGATGATATTTGACTTACGCACTATCAATTTAAATACTTCCTTAATTTACTGATTCTTGATAATATCTAGAAAATAGCATTTTCTGATTAAACTGTAAGTAGGCCACATTGTTTTTTGTTTTGTTGCAATCCCCTAAGGTTTTGGAAATCTTTCTTTGCGGCTTTCTCTGAGTGGTATATTGGTTGTTGATGCATCTTACTTTTTCGTGTACAGAAAGAAGGAACCTACAAGGGCAAGAAGTTCAATGCCATTTGCCATTTCTTTGGCTACCAAGCTCGGGGGTCTTTGCCATCAAAGTTTGATTGTGACTATGCCTATGTAAGTTCAATTTCAAGTTGTGTAATGGTTATTATGTTAACAAATCTGCTGCTTGTTTAAATAATTAGGCTTGAGTTGTATTTGTAGGTGCTTGGTCATATTGGCTTTCACATAATTGCTGCTGGCTTGAATGGTTACATGGCAACTGTAACCAATTTGAAGAATCCTGTAAACAAGTGGAAGTGTGGTGCTGCTCCTATAACTGTATGTATCCTATCCCAACCCTATTTTCGAAAACAACCTGCATGGCCTATTTTTACTTGTATGATTGTTCTCTGAAGTTTCCTTTTTT